TGATGGGGTTGTCATACTTGTCACATGGGAATAAAGTACTCACATGGAAGAGATAGATAGATTGTTTTGTTATGTACAACCCATCCGAATAGAATATTTACTATATAAGTCACATGTTATACTGTGGAATATTAAAAGACACAGTTATTGTGTTATATGTTTTAGTATTTTTTAATCGAATGAAAATATACACACAATATAATCAAAGACATACACAACAAATTTATACATAACAATGTTCAAATAATGTACCCACAATGAAATTAATCTGATGAAAAAGGGTTATTTCTAACGAAATCCAAAAAATTGTTTCTTCAACAAATTTTCCAAATACTCTCGTATGTTACCGCCTTTTTCTAAGGACATATATAAATAATTTCAATTATCAAACTAAACAGGTGCAAATTCACAAACAAGAAACTAAATTTGTATAAGCAGGAATAAATTTGTGTCATACCTAGAGCATTGTCGTCCGAATGGGAAGCAGCGTCGAAGGGATGTGGATATATGTAATTGTTTTTCTATATAAAAACATATATTGTTAATCAATCAATGTATGAACACCTATTTAACTGGAAAAATATGGCATAAATGTAACTTACCGGATTATAAATCATTTTTCACGTTGAATAATCGACCAACAATGTATTTAGGGTGTTAAAATTAGGATACTCGTTCCAAACATCATTGAGATCTTTACAGTAGGTAACATTATCTTCTTTTTTATACTTTCCTTGATCCTGTTTACAACAGTTGAACATAAATATGTAGGAATCATAGACAAATAAAAGTCAGCAAAGTGCAATGACATTCATCTTACCCAAATGAATAGAAACTGGTCAGGCAACAAAGGTAGTTTCTTAAGTACATAGTCGATGTTATGCCTGAGATTGTAATCAAGTTTGAATGTTAACATTTAATTGTATATTAACGATTTTGGCTATAGTAATTCAATTGTTCAATAGTTCTAGCCTCATCTTGGAAGACTAAATGGTACACAAAAATGCAGAAATTCATATACTCATGTTTTGAGGATAACATCAACAACATGAAGAAAATGAGATTAAAGTTGTGCGCTTATATGTTAAAATAATAGATACAAATGAACAAAATTAAAACCTTTTGGATGTCTTGGGATGTAGGCAAGGACACCATTGACATAAAAAATTACAAGTTTTCTTGCAGGCGGCGTTGCAGACACGATATACTTGTTTGGATCATCATAATCATTTTCATCATCATCTTCATTGAGCGCTTGGTTGTCCACATCTGTTAAAAGAAAATAAAATACATTTTACAATGTGTAAATGTTTAGAAACATAAATAATTAATCACCTAACTCGTTTGTTGTCGTTGACGTAATTCGTCACGCAAGATGGAGACTTCGTCGCGCAATGATGCGATATCGGCTCGCATTCCACTCACAAGGGAATCAATATGCTCCCGAAAATTGACCATGTATTTCATCACTGTCTTAATTGTGACATCATCTCCACCTGGAGCTTCTGGAGCTTGTGGAGCTTCTTCCATTATTGCGTCTCCCATTAGTTGGTCATATTCATGGCCAATGGGGTCCATTTTCTCCCTCTCTTGATCTAATTCGACATCCTTGACACGCTTCCAACCGACATTTTCAACAAAATCATATCCCGCTCTGGTAATAAATAACATGTCAATCTTGCAGGTTAATCGAACAGGGAGTCAAGCGAAAAATCAACTTCTTTCTTATTCAATAGATGGGTGATGACACATCCATATGGTAGTGAAGTTGAAATTGATGCTCCCTTTGTGATCATATATACAATTGTATTAAATATCAATTTAGCAATGTTTGGAGCCGTTTTGGATCTATACTTTGCTATCCACCAATAATCATTGTCTCAAATCGTTGAATATTTCCCCCCAGTAGGTCGAAAAAATCAAGTGAGCATTTTGTGAAACACTCTCGACTCTACATCTAGGTGAATTGGGCTATTTCTAGCAACCCGTTGTATTGTAGTATCTAAAGCATTTTCATCTGAATCCCCTTTATTCTCGACACCTATACCCTTCGCAATAGTATCCGGAGATATATATATCATTCCCCATGACATGGGTATTAATTCTTATTATATTAGTCTTATTAGGCTCACGCTGGAATAAAGCATTGTTGTAGAAGACTCTAACTAGGTCGGGATAATATTTTGGTTATACACCGAGGAATTCAAGCCAACCCCAAGATGTAAATTTAGATTTCAAACTAAATTCATATTTATCATCGAACAAGAAACTCAGGTCAATGACACGTTCGGGACGAATCTTCCTTACTTTGAAACTCCTCTACCATCTTTCTTTCTCCTCATCGGATCTAAAGTTCAGAGTTTCGAACAACCTGATTTTCTCAGAATAATCGATTGGTTGAGAAGGAGGTTGTGGTTGAGAAGAGCTTGGTTGAAAAGAGCTTGGTTGAGAAGAGCTTGGATGAAAAGAGCTTGGTTGAGAAGAGCTTTGAGAAAGACTGCGCCTCTGACGCTGACGTTTTGGAGCCATTTTGGGTGTGGATGTTGTTACATTGGAACACAAACACATTAAGGAAAAAAAAGAGTCCAATCTGGAAATCAATCAAACCCTAATTTATGGTAAAATATCGATAAATTTATCTGAATATCTGATCGTAACTCTTATGAACGCTGGTATTCGTCGGAGTCGAAGAGTTCTCTTCTATCTTTAGGTTTAGGGTTTTTTGATTTGGAGTTTGTATCGATTCTAATTTTAACATATAAATAATGGAGGGAAAAAACACGCGAAATTTAAAAAAGTATCGACACAAATTTAAAAAGTGTCGATACATTATGTTGACATGTTTTCTAATTAACCCGGTATATTTATACCGGTTACATTGCAAAATTATCTATTACATTATAATTATGGGTTTCGATGTTTTTGGGATCGATACAATTTTAAATGTATCGACATTTTATGTGTGCACCTAGTTTGTCATTCATTTCTGGACAACAAGTATCGACACAAATTTAAAAAGTGTCGATGCATTATGTTGACTTGTTTTCTAATTAAACTGGTATATTTATACCGGTTACATTGTAAAATTACCTATTACATTATAATTATGGGTTTCGATATTTTTGGGATCAATACTTTATATAAATGTATCGACACTTTATGCGTGCACCTCGTTTGGACATTCATTCTGGACAAAAAGTATCGACACAAATTTAAAAAGTGTCGATACATTATGTTGACCTGTTTTTTAATTAACCCGGTATATTTATACCGGTTACATTACAAAATTACCTATTACATTATAATTATGGGTTTCGATGTTTTTGATATCTATACAATTTTAAATGTATCTACACTTTATGCGTGCACCTAGTTTGTCATTCATTTCTGGACAACAAGTATCGACACAAATTTAAAAAGTGTCGATACATTATGTTGACATGTTTTCCAATTAAACCGGTATATTTATATCGGTTACATTGTAAAATTACTTATTACATTATTATTATGGGTTTCGATGTTTTTGGGATCGATACTTTTTATAAATATATCGATACTTTATGCGTGCACCTCGTTTGGGCATTCATTCTGGACAAAAAATATCGACACAAATTAAAAAAATGTCGATACATTATGTTGACATGTTTTCTAATTAACCCGGTATATTTATACCGGTTACATTGCAAAATTATCTATTACATTATAATTATGGGTTTCGATGTTTTTGGGATCGATACAATTTTAAATGTATCGATACTTTATGTGTGCACCTAGTTTGTCATTCATTTCTGGACAACAAGTATCGACACAAATTTAAAAAGTGTCGATACATTATGTTGACTTGTTTTCTAATTAAACTGGTATATTTATACCGGTTATATTGTAAAATTACCTATTACATTATAATTATGGGTTTCGATATTTTTGGGATCAATACTTTTTATAAATGTATCGACACTTTATGCGTGCACCTCGTTTGGACATTCATTCTGGATAAAAAGTATCGACACAAAATTAAAAAGTGTCGATACATTATGTTGACCTGTTTTTTATTTAACCCGGTATATTTATACCAGTTACATTTCAAAATTACCTATTACATTATAATTATGGGTTTCGATGTTTTTGATATCTATACAATTTTAAATGTATCTACACTTTATGCGTGCACCTAGTTTGTCATTCATTTCTGGACAACAAGTATCGACACAAATTTAAAAAGTGTCGATACATTATGTTGACATGTTTTCCAATTAAACTGGTATATTTATATCGGTTACATTGCAAAATTACCTATTACATTATTATTATGGGTTTTGATGTTTTGGGATCGATACTTTTTTATAAATGTATCGACACTTTATGCGTGCATCTCGTTTGGGCATTCATTCTGGACAAAAAATATTGACACAAATTTAAAAAGTGTCGATACATTATGTTGACATGTTTTCTAATTAACCCGGTATATTTATACCGGTTACATTCCAAAATTACCTATTACATTATAATTATGGGTTTCAATATTTTTGGGATCGATACAATTTTAAATGTTTCGACACTTTATGTGTCCACCTAGTTTGTCATTCATTTCTGGACAACAAGTCTCGACACTTATTTTAATGGAATCGATACTTTAAACATATTAGGTAACGCTTTACCGGTTTTGTCATAATGAAACCGGTTTGATCATATTTTTACTTGTTATACTGTTATGGATTGATATGTTTTTTTGTATCGATACATACCGACAAACTAAGTTTGTCAGTTGCCAAATTTTTTAATATTTCTTTATGATTTTCACCTACAACATTATTATTACTCAACATTTCCAGTAGAGCTAAATCGAATTTATTAAATATCTTTTAATGTATCCGGTAACGTCGTATATTAATCTGTCTTTCCTGAGACAAACCTTTTTCATTTGTTCTTTGATTGTTATTCACAAAGCCCACATTTCAAAAAAAAAACTTCCCAAAAATTTGTTTTTCATGATCAAGCTCTTAAACGTTTTTCAAGAACTCAACCTGTTATTCATTTTAAAATATTTTTATTCAGAACAAACTCCTAAATCCAACTCTTCCGTATTTTAATATTTAAAACTCCAAAAAAAAAAAAACTCTAACCCTATCCATCCTCTCACTCTCGACCACCACAACCTTCTTCGACCAAAACACCAAAATCAACCGGGAAAATGCCTCGGTTTCCAGCCCCCAAACATCACAAAAACGCTCCAAAAAAAAAACGAAGGGCTCACCTTCGGTCCAAGCTTTCGAACTCGGTGATGTACACGATGACGAACGACTGATTCTATGATGGCGGTGAACTCCGATAACTACAAATCAGTAAAAAAAACCTCTCCTTTTTCGTACTTTACGATTTTACAAATGTGGCTTTGATGATGGTAATCAATTTCTTCATGATGAATATTGTGTGTTTATTTATATCTATGTTGTACGGATACGGATACGGGGATGGATACGAAGACGGGGACAGGGATGGAAAACGATAATTTTTAAAATTACAGGGTACGGAGACGATAAGGGTACGACATATAAAATAATTTTAAAATTATAAATATATATAAAAAATTATAAATAAAGTCAAATAAAAATACCAACTTGGCATGCTCCTTGACCAATTCATTTCGCTCAATAAACAGTTCCAATTCGGCAATTTGCAATTTCCTCCATCTCGCCTCTAAAATTGCCTTCCTTTCACTGTCAACCATATCTAAACTATGCTTTAGAAGTTCTTCTTCTAAGCCAGACACACAGAACCTCTTATCAAACAAATTACTAACCGAACTCTTAGGCACCTTATCGACCTCCATTGGCACCGCAATATCTACTTTCTTATCAGGTGAAGAATGAAACTCTGCTTTCAATGCAACCACTGACTTGTTATTTGCCTTGGCTTTCCCATTGGATTTAGCAGCTGAAGACTTAACTTTCCCACTAATCCCCTCTTTTCCCCTTATCTTTTTCGACAGTTCAAATGCATTATGTTCATGGGCTTTAGAGAAACTTCGATCCTCACCCTTTTTACCTTTCCCGGCATTGTTCTCAAACTTTTTCTTTAACCTTCTAATCTTGTCCATCAACTGTGCTTTCGTAACATCAGTAATTCAGTATGAATCGATTTCTTAACAAAATCATAAAATGCATTCATATCAACACAAGGATCAGCCTCTTTTTTAGCAGAGTAATCCAACGTACCTTTCAACAGTCTCGGATATGGGTTTCTTCGCGTTCATGTCTTCCATGGGTTTCGTCGCAAGAGGCTTGACATTCGGCGTAGCCGTGTCGGATTCGGATTCCGACTCAGTCCCGAATTCCTCAGATTCTTCATTCCCCGCGACGGCTATCGCAGGATCAAGCTTCCTGGGAGGTGGGCTCTTTTGGATCAATGGAGTAGACTGGGTTTGGGGTTCTTCATCCTCTTCTTCTTCCTCGGCTGAAGATCCCACTTCTTCGTCCTCGGAGGTTGTCTCCTCAGCCAAAATTACCTTTGGGTACGTCCCCGAAACGTCCCGGATAAGCTTTGACTGTCCCCCATTTCGGTCAGCCATACCCTGCCACCGTGGCACGTCCCCGGTACGTCCCTCAGCCGTCCCCGAACCGTCCCCGTACCCGAAACATATCGGGTACTTGAAACGGGTCTCCTTTTCCGTCCCCGTGCTTCTTAGATTTATATTGATCTAAAACACATTTCAGTTGGTTATTTGCTCATTGCTAACCAATAGTTCTCGCTCATATTTAGTTGTAACAGATTTCGATTATGCTTCAAAATTTTGATTTTTTTGATTTTTTTGATTTTTGTATTTTGATGATATTGCATGGAAACGAAGTCGAATCGACCATCGGAAGAGACAAACGGTGCACTAAAGTAAAGCGCGCCAGCCACGCACCGATGACTGAAGGGTAAAGCTCAATTGAGGATGCATCTGGAATGTTTGTTCTTATCCATTGAATCAATATTCAGTTAATGACCCAGATTCAATTGATTTTTTCCATAGATAGCTGACATGACAATATTAAATTATTCCCTTAAAAATCGGGCTCTCATCGATGATTTGCCCTTTTTCCAAAATTGAAAAGTCAAAATTCCCTCCCATTTACACATATGGCGGAAACACTTGTTTGGAAATTCAGCGTCTGTTTGTTTAGTTGTAATTGGTTTTTCAGAAAATAAATTACTAGAATTTGAATCATTGAAATTTAAATTACTGGAAAATGAATTACTGGAATTTGAATTCTGGAAAATAAATTACATTTCTGTAAAATGAATTACATTTCTAGAAAATGAATTACATTTCTGGAAAACATCTGGAAAATATTTTATGATGTTTGGAAGATGTTATTTAAACATTTTTTCGGTATATTTTAGTGAAATAAAATTTTATAAATTATATTTAATTATTTATTAAAGTAATAGTACTATATTATATTTTAAAAATATTAATTAGTATATTTTAATATCTTTACTAAAATATTATTGAAATATATAAATAATATTATTCATTATTAAATATATAAAAAAAATTATTGTATATTATTAAAATAAAAATATAATATCTTATATTATTATAATATAATTGATTATTTTATATAATATTAAAAAATATAATATTATATTATTATAAATATTAATAAATATATTTTAAATATTTTAATAATTAATATTTTGATGAAAATGATATTAAAATATTTTATTAATATTAAATTCATAAAATAAAATTATTTTGAGTATTTTTGCTTTGAAGTGAAAAGTTCGGAAAATGACTTACAGAAAATGAATCCGTAAGTCATTTTACAGAAAACACAAAGGAAATTCTGTTACTAGGAAAATGAATTACATTCCGGAAAACGAATTACGTGAAACAAACACGGGAAAACGTTTTCCGGAAAACGAATTACGTGAAACAAACACGGGAAAACATTTTCCGGAAAACGAATTACGTGAAACAAACACTGAAATTCGGGGAAAACCAATTCCGTAATTCTAATTACGGGAAACAAACAGACCCTAAGATTTCTAATTTTTAGGATAAAATGAGCTTGTAAACTTTTTCTGGACTTAGTATTCTTGTAGTAAACTAAAAAAAATTGTTTATTGTAAAATGAGTTACTAGTAATGTAAAAATGGGCTCTCCTATTTATTTAATATTGGACCTATTATTTTTCAAAGGCAAAATAGACTAATACGAAAATAATATTTGGACTTTAACCATGACTACCTAATATGAAAAACTATATTATATACAACATAAACATTATATTATACAATATATTTATTACAATAAAACCTATATAGACTATACACATATTAATGAAAATTATATACTAATAATATATACATTAATACTATGTACTAAGGGTGTGTTTGGTTAACGGAATGTAAGATTACCAGTGGTAATGTAAGATTATCATTGGAAATGTAAGATTACCAGTGAATAGGATTACTGAGAATGTTGTATTTTGTGTTTGGTAGGTTTAGCAGGAATGTAAGATTATCGCATCTGGTTAAAGGAATAAAAGATGATTGGAATGTATATTTAACCAAATTGTCCTTATTATAGATTTGTTTTTTAACAAGTTGAAAAATATTTATATATTTTCTTTAAAAAATTTAAATTCATAAAATTTATATATATATATATTTTTTACAAAATTGAAAAATATAAAAAGGTTTAATGAAATGGTAAAATTTTATTTTAACCCCTGAACTTTATATAAAATTTTAATTATAGATTTTTTTTTGTAAATCTAAAATAGTTTAAGGATAAATTTATAATTTAACATTCGTAGAATTTTTATTATTCAATGACAGAAGAATGATATTTTCGAAAAAAAAAATTTAAAGACATTTTAGTCCAAAACGTTGGTAATCCAACAATACCTAAAGAAAGGGAGATAATGACATTTCCGGTAATATACCCCAAAAAATCTACTATTGGTAATAAAATATTATCGGGAATGAGATTCCCGACCAACCAAATATGAGAATGTGGATTTCATTCCTATGAGAATCTCACATTCCTTGAACCAAACAGTCCCTAAAAGTTTTATAATTAAAAACTATATATCAAGCTCAACATATATTACATATTAAACTATATAATATATAGAAAATGATATGTCACCATCGGATAAAATGGATGATGACAGTGCATTAAGAAAGAATATGCCAACTTTGAAGAAAGCATGCGTGATTTTCGTTGAGATATCTCTGCCACATTTGTTGCAAAGCTCTTATTTTACTAAACACTGTAATGTTATTGGCCCTGCATTTTAATTAGCACTTCCTATGGAAATCGAATGTTGCAATGTCATCTTCCTAAAATTTGAATACCCACCAATCGCATTCCATTGGAATGTTCTTCTATCACCGTAAAGCTTATCGATTTGTAAATCAGAGATGATGAATTGGAATGAAAGAGCAAAGAGAAAATATCCATTCCAAGAGCAAGAGTTCCACCTCATTGTATTGCTGCATGTACCTCTGTCACAAATGAGAAAAGAGAAAGGAAAAACTTAAATAACAAAGAAAACAGATGAGGACGAGAATGATTTTAGGGAAAAAACCCATAAATGATAAAGGAAGGAAAGAAGAAAGAGAAAACTTTGACTAGATTAATGTAGAGGAGGAGTTTTTAGATATAAAATAATTGTTTAAAGACTTATTTGATGTTTTAGCAATAGTTTAGTGGTTGTAGACACCCATTTTTGTCCGGGTCTATTAAAATATTTTATTGTATTATTAATTTTATTATTATTATTATTATTATTTCTTTTATAGGTCCCATATACTACCCCACTGTTACCTCACTCAATCAATACCCAACAACCATGTTTAACCCCACGTATCACAACTATACCACTACCCCATTAACTAAAACTGCTGCCATTTTTCCCGCTTCACTCTGGATTCCATCAATTCTTCTCCATTTATAGTCCTTGCACACATTATAAAAGGGGAGGGTGGGCTCAACTCTCTTGGGGGCTGGCGGAAGAAAAGTGCTTCAAAATCCCATGGAAAACCAGAAAAATGCTTCACTGTCTCTAAACCTTTTAGGGTTGAAGATTTTAGCATTCTTCAATGGCAGAGAAAGAGCCATCGTCGGAGCCCACCCACCAATTGAAGACATGGATCTTGAAACCATCAATTCATCCGACCAAAACCCCAATGCCAAGGCCGACGCCAACGGGGACTCCAAATTCAAGCGCGCGAGAGAAGAAGATGGCGAAGAAACCGACAATGCATCCAAAATATAGAAGCTGGAAAAGTCCGTAGAGGACGAAATTCTTGAGAACAAGTCGGACTTACCCGAGTCGGGTCCTATACGGCTTGGTCGAAAAAAGTTCGGGTCCTCAGCGGAGATGATTGATTACTTTGTCTATTTGCTTCATAATTGGGTAATTCTCTAATCTCCCCTCATAGACAAATGCCTGTGATGCCCTTTGATACCGAGTGCTTGAATTGAGGAGGATTGTTCTTTTATATTTACTGCTTCAATGCTGTTGTTTCAATTCATAAAATATTTCAGCTTTTTAGTGAGAATGTATGACTGTGATCTAAGTTTTTTTTTTTTGCTTTGCTTTACGTCATTTCCATCAAAAGTTCATGATAAGAATTTGGTGTCTGAAAATGAAAAGAAAGAACAAAAGGCCAAATGAATTCACGTGAGAATCAAGGGTTTTATTTAGTTTAATATAATTTTTGGGTTAATTAGAACACAAGTCATTTAAGAGTTCCTAATTTGTAGTTTTGGAGTTATGTTTTTATTTCTTTCAATTTGGTCTCTGTTTATACTTTGTGAATTAACCCTCTAATTTTGTTTTTTTGCAGTTCATTTTTTAGTATCAATTTCAGTCCACAAAGTCCAATTTAATTCATTTTGGCCCTTTTATTTATTTATTTACTTTTTTTAATTTTTATTTTATCTTCCTAACATTTTTTAATTTCAAACCTTAGCCTTTTTTTCATTTCTTTTATATTTTATTTATTTTATTTTTCCCCTTATTATTTAGTTAATTTTTACTCGATATTTTTATTTATCATCTAACATTTTTATCTAACATATTCTTTCAGTCGTAATTCCAACTGATCAAAGGGTAAGTAATTCGAATCGGATTTATAAATTTTAATTTAAATTTTTAATATTCGCAATTAAAGGCAACCAACAAATTAATTGGTACCGAAAGGGCGGTTCAAGGGTGCTAATCCTTCCTTAACCGTAACTGACTCCCGAACTCGACATGTTTCTGGTACAACGCAGATCAGGTAAGATGGTATCTGACCCACCTAAATTCATTTTAAAGTGGTCGGTGGCGACTCTAACCCAATCAATTCCAGTCGAAGCCCGATTCCAGGCCCAACCGAAAGACGGTTCCGACAGCTTGGCGACTCTGCTGGGGACAGGTAAGTGAGTCAGGCCGAAATTAATTTCCGGTTGACTTTTTTAGCGAAAATTACAAGTCTAAATTTTAATTTGTTATTTGATTCTAATTATTTACCTTTGATTATTTTTCAAATAAATAGTTGTACTAACGTTTTTTAATGATTTCAGATTTTTTCAAAATTGTCATCTCTAAGCTCTAAACCCGAGCTCCAAACCCGTTTTAAGTGGGGGTGAAAGCGACGCATTCGTGTGAATTTATTCACCGCATATGCCTAGCAAGTAGCCTTCGGGATTCATATACCTTATGTCTTCGTGTGAATTTATTCACCGTGCGGGCATAAGGGAATGTGTCCTCTCGAGTTTAACTTAGTCCACACAAGCTTGTAATAGGCTTAGGACTAAGGGTCTGGCAAGCCCAAGGGGGCACCGGCAAGGAGAACTCGA